TTTTTTGGGCGAGTAGCTCGAGGGCTCGAAATATATTTACAGTACAAAAACGTATACTAAGGACTATCTACGGAATGTCTCCTTTGCAGTCTTGTCACGAGGTTTTTTAATCAAAGGGTGTTTTAACTGTGTACGCTCTGTACATTTTTGAGGCAATATTATGTGTTTTTAAGAGTATATATTTACACGATAACAACGTTAACCAGGATCATAGCACCCGCACGGGAAACATTTTGTATCCAACACACAGACTAACACTGTCTGAAAAGAATCCGTACTATATGGGTATAAAATTCTTTAATAAACTAAAAAACAACATTAAAAAAGTAAGAATTGAAAAATTGTTTAAGAATAAATTAAAACAGATGTTAATTGAGTTAGAGCCTTATAGTATTAGAGACTATTTAAATATGTAACAACAGTACCTTTTAGTATAATATGTCCTTTGTCAATTGTTATTTAACGCCATTTCATTTTGTATTCTTTATACATGTGCATGTATCAGAATGTACCTCCCCTGGTGTTAACGGGAAAATCAGATACCAAAACTAGCAGCAGGACCCGACGGATATTCATGTTAAGAGCGGTACTCCGTAGAGGTGTGATAAACGGTAATTTTTCCGTAACGGGTTACAACGTTTCCGTTTTACCTTGGTAGTATGTTTCAAAATGCGGTTCCAAAAGCAACATGCTACTTTTTAAATTTCTCATTTAAAATGCAGAATGATGATGATAGTAGAAATAGTGATTATACATAATGATTTCCTTTATTTAAAATATGATTATTAACATTGGTAAACTTGAAATAAAATATACTAAAATCAAAAACAAAACATAGCTCTGAGGTAACTACTTAAAGAACAGAAAAACTGATAATAATAAAACTAGAGTGATTAAATAAAATATACAGTTTATATGCGAAAATGTTTAAAAATCTAATTTTTATTTAAAACTATTGAAAAATCTTTTTTTTGCAGATGCTCTTTACTGATTCTAGTTCTTCGTGCGTTTATAGAAAATAATCTCGCATTTCGTTTTTCAATAACATTAAATAATCCACAATAACTACAAACATAAATGCGTGTTTGGCAAACCTGGACGAAGCATTACTCGGCTTGATTTTGGTACCACAAAAAATTATTATGACTGAATTTATATTGAGAAATGGTCAGCTTGCTTAAATGCAGGTGCACATTCTGCTTAAAACTTTTGTTGTTTTACATTTCAACTGTGATGGAATTTATGTCTTATATGTGACTCTTAGTTTGCTGTTACGGTTTTATGAGACGGTTCCAAAAAGCAACGGTTTCAATCGGCAAATGACTGCAGCTCGATAGATCGCTCGACGATGTCCGGAGTGCGCACCGCTATTTCGGTTTTATGAGACAGTTAGAAAAAAAACTGTTTGATCGGCTAGGTTACACGTTTGGAACACTGTTATTTTAGCGGTTACGTTAAAACCCGACCATCTCTAGTACTCCGCCAGCGTCTGACCCAAAGTGGGCGGCTGATCTTTAACCTAGGAAAGAAACGGGAAACTACCTAGGTACACACTTCCCCATGATACTTATTATGGGTGAAAACAAATTAAGCACGGCCCTCAGTCCTGTACACCCCTTAACTGGGGAGAGCAATGAGCGAAATGCAATGATCGTGATATAGAAAATGGAAAAAGGACAGCCCACAGCATAGGAACTGCCGATGAAATGACAGTTAATTTTGTTGATAGACGTTGTAAGGTCGATTAATTTTTTAAAAGGTATTTTTGGTGGTACCAAACTTAACTCAGTTAATACTTCGTTCTGGAAGGCCAAAGACGCATTTTAGCCAAAGTATTTTGCTATTGTGGATTATTTATTTCTATTGTGAAACGAAGTGTGCGGCTAGTTGGAAAGTATAGTGAGCGTGAGATTAGTTATAACTTAAAGCTGGTTTCTTGAGGTTATTTAAAGTTGGTTTTATTATGGATGAAAGTAAGCGACAGAACACAAGTTAATCATAAAGTTATTTCATGGTAAAAGATACGAACAAAAAAATTGCCAGTACCATCTTTACAAGAAATGTAATGTTTTAAGCCTCTAATTTAAAAAAACACATCGAACGAAGACATTCCACAATAAACTTAAAGGCACATTTCAAAAATATTAATACACAACTCAAACAATATCAAAGTCAATCTGAGCTCAACATTGTCCCAGCCGCATCACAATATTCATATTCTGATCGACCAACTCCGTTAATGTCAGTTAATTTTGAAGAAATTAACCAAATTGAGCCGAAGTATAAACAACCAAATGTCGAATGTTTTACGACGGGAAATAGGTTAAAGGAAAAACAAAAAAAGAAATTAAATAAGCTACTTTTAAAACGGTGTTTACGGTATATTGTCAACCATTTTCAATTGTAGAAGATATGGGTTTTAAAAGTTTGGTCAGGGAATTACCTCCAGCATATAATTTGCCTAATCGAAAAATAATTTGCAACATGATTGATGTTGAATATGAACAATGTTTGGCCGCCGTCCGCAAACCATTTCATTCAGTATCTATTGTATGTTTAACTACGGATTGCGGGACCTCCCGAAATGTAGAAAACTTCATTGCAGTTACCGGACATTTCATAAATGAAAAGTTTGAACTAAAATCAGTACTTTAATAATACAAGCAAAAATTTTGCCAAGGAGATTACAAAAATAATTGATACACTTAACTGCTAAAACAATAATTGTCATCTCCGACAACGCAGTAAACACAAAAAATGCAGTATTAAATGAACTAAAACAGAAGCATTTTGAATGTTTTGCGCATACCATAAATCTGGTTAACAAAAGTGTATTAGAAATCGTCAATCTGTTGCTATATAAAATTAAGGAAGTGGTAGCTTTCAGACATTAAGACATCAGTAGCGTTTATGAATACAGATATTTCCGTTTCATCTGAAGAAGAATGGAACATTTGAAAAGAGCTATGTATAGTGTTAAAACCTTTTTACGATGCTACAGTGCGAATATTCGGAGAAAAGTATGCGACAGGCAGGGAGGTCATTAGTTCCAAACTGTCTAATGCCTGTTTATAGAAAGTTGCAGAAAAAAGTGTTGTCTAACAGTGTCAGAGGCACTGCTAAAAATAAACAGATACTTAAATGCCAATTACCTTCCCAGAATTGAAGATCAGCTATTATGATGGAGGCAAAATCAACATCTGTATTCCACAATTTCAAAATTAGTCAAATTGAAAGTCAACATTGTAGCTACTTCCGTACCATTCGAGAGATTATTTTCTAAAGCGGGTGCATCATAAACGAGCGAAGAACTAGATTCAGTAAAAGCATCTGCAAAAAAAATTATTCTTAAATGTTAATTTATTTTTCAATTAATTAAATTAAATTCAATTAAATGAAAATTCGATTTTCAAACATTTTCGCATATAAACCGTATATTTTATTTAATCACTCTGGTTTATTATCAGTTTTTTTGTTCTTTAATCACTTAGTTATTACGGTTACTTGTGACCCATGTTTTGATTTTAGAATATTTTATTTTAAGCTTACTACTTAGCAATGTTAAGAATTATTTTTTTACTCAACTAAATCATTATTTGTCATGACTATTTCTACTATCATCAACATTGCGCATTGTTAATGAAATTAAAGCATCCTTTTGGAACCGCTTTTTAAAAGCTATTACTAAAGTGAAATTGGAACGTTGTAACCCGTTCCAGAAAATTAACCGTTTATCACAACTCTAATCAGTTAAGGGTTTTTCGAATTTTATAATGAGGAGCAACCACTAACACAGTCATAGATAACGCGCTCAAAGATTTGCAAAAGTTTTTATTGAAATTGACACTCCGTACCAAGGAATAATTGAAGAAGGGCTACGTTTCCTCCCTTCTATTAACTGCTTAAATACAAATTAATCGAATTGAAAGGATTGTTAAAAAAAGTTATTATTTGGTCTTCTGCAATAATATCAGCTTTTAGAGTGAGTTATTTTTAAGTGTTATGTTTTCTCTAAATCGTCCTAGAAAGCATCTTCAAGTAATGAAAGGCCTTCCAGAATGTCCAGGAATGTTTAAAATCTTCCAGATCACATAAAATTTATGAATTTATTTTATTGTTATAATTATTTTATTTGTAAATGGCATCTGCATTTTAAGTCAAATTCAATAAAAATTGTGAAACGTAATTTGCCACGAGGCAAATGTGAACAATGTTCAAACATTAAATTCGCCTAAAACGAATCTAATGTTGTCCAATTATGGGTTTGTTTCGAATTTTAATTCTGATGATGGCGCTTTTGTCTCACCGAAACTTAAAAATACGAAATTAACGATGTAAACATTTTTATTTCACATTTTGACTGAAACCCAGACAAGAAAACAATATATATGAACATTTGCAACGACGGTACTGCAAAAATTACACACTTAAAAGCAGATTTGGCAGGTGAGCCGCTTCAGAGCTAACAACAGATCCGATGGTGCTTGGCTATTTAGGAGACATACATTTCCAAGCATATCATTAAAATAGCTATAACATTAACATGGACTCCAAAACGATTATGACAACACTTAACGGAAGATAACTGCCAGAAACTGAGTGAATTCTCAAAGATTTACGATTTGTTCTCGTCCTGCTCGTGGACGTTTTCCGTAATATTTGAGTGTTGGAATGTCAGCAAAGTATACATTTCCAAATTTTATTGGCATCTGAAGCTTCCTTAATGTGGTAACTAAGAACCTTTTTTAAATGTGCGTTTTTGTAATGGCAAAGAAAGGTAATACGTTGAGTTATATTGGTAATACCGGGAAACATTTACATTTTCTTAACGGAATTGTTAAATTTTGTTTCAAATTTATTGTCGCTGCTGTTGCCAGTGCTAATTTTCGTGATTCCAATAGTATTTTGCATGATCTCCATACGAAAATACGTATATCTACAGTATTCCGAGCTATGTTTTACATTATATCTTCAAAAATCTTATGTTTTTTTGGCCGTAGATGTGCAGTCAGCGCTGAGGCACTGATGACATATGACTTGTTGGGTTTCTTTTATATTTTGAACTTTTTAAATTAAGCATTTATTTTCATCTGAAATATTAGAATAACCAGCATATTTGACTCAACTTCTGATGAACTGTAGTATTTAGTAAAAATATGTCACGTGCAATCAACCCGTTACCCACCCTGTATATTATATTATTACTCATAGTCCGTTACCGGCTTGGCTTTAGGTTCTAAAGCAAAGTTTCATGTCTATTTTATTGCTTTAACGACTGTTACTGTTTGTTCAGTAATATTTACAATTACTAGTTGCACTTAGCGTTGCATGGAGTTTATTGCACCATACATCTCGAGCTTTATGGTATTAACAAATACTATTTATTTTTCTTTAATTTCAAAATGGCATGAAAAGGCTAAAATTTTTATTTCTTAAAAATGGTGAGGACACTTGTTTTGCTTAAATGCGTTGTTTTCTAGTTGTTTGTCAGATAAAAAAAATTACCTAGAATGCAATATTTTTGCCTAAACAATATGTCAGCAAACCTTGTCATATTAGGTACATAGTTGAGCACCGCCCTGTACAGTAATTATAATTCAATATTCATCTACGCGTTGCTTGTCTGTTGTTCTTTAAACGAAATATGTCTATTTCCAGTGTCCAGATGTGCATTTTGCATTGCCAATCATAGAAATTGATGATATTGTAACGAAAATGGCTTAGGGTACTCACGTTTGGAATGGGGGGATCGAAATTCATGATATTTTAGTAAATGGGAGCCCCAATTGGGCCCCATTTACTGTCACATATGACACTGACAAGAGGGAAATTTCGCACCTCGGCTGGAGATTTCGAGAACTGTCTGGGTTACCTGGATGAAACTATTTAAGCGGCGACGAGAACCAGACAGGGGGAGTGAAGTGACAGCAACGACCGGGTGCAGAAGAGGTTAAACCCCGCGAGTCAGAAGGGCGAGTTTTCCGCCTGTTATTGTTACTGTTTGTGAAGTTGACGGTAATTTTGAAGTTAGTTTGTTCCTCTTTCGCAGTTAAAGTTATACCGAGTGGAATAAAAGTTGGAAGCTGAAGAAAGAGTTTGATATTCGGCCATCCACGGTACATTTGGTGTCAGAAGTGGGATTTAACAGAATCCAAGTTGAATTTTGAAGGAAACATGAAGTAAATCAAAGAAGGAAGACCCTGCAATAGGGAACCCCAGTGATGATTGCACTTCTCATGCAGATAAAAGACGAAATGAGCAAAATGGATGACAAAATGGAAAACAACAGTAGGAAAATGGTGGACGAAATGAGCGACAACAGTAGGAAAATGCACGAAAAACTTGACAGAATGAATGACAAAATGGAAGACAACCTCAAAAAGATGCTGGATAAAATGGCCGACATTAAGAAAGTGATGAAAGAAATGAGAGATAAAATGGACGACAACGCTAAGAAATTTGAAGACCTGAAAACAACCGTTGATGGCAAACTAAAGAACATCGAGGAAGTGACCGATGATTTGGAAAACACTGAAATCGTGGACATTCCTGCAGTAGTGGAAGAGCCAGAATATAAAAATCCAGTAGTTTAAGAGCCGAAAGTTGATCAAGAAGATGGTATTGTCGAGATCACGAATGAACAAATTGCTCAGGAGCATTTAGAGGAAATTCAGGTGGAGCCCGAAGTGGCTAGTTCTGATCAGAAACTGTCCTTAGTTGGGGAAATAACTGATTAAGTTGTCTCTGAAGGAGATGATTTGGCTAAAACTGACAACTATTGTGAAAACTTACCAGGTATTATGCTCTCAAAAGTAACTGTTTTAACAGAGAAAAACTCTCAAGTGGAGAAAGAAGTCGTGGAAGAGACATTAACAGCGGCGAAAGTGAAGGAAGCGGTAAAGACGGAAAGTATAGCAATTTTGGAATTTCAGGACGAACATGCTGAAGAACTCCCATCAGACAAGGTGATTACGGACGAAGCGACTATTGTGAAGACTGAAGAATTGTCGGTTGCTGATAAAACTGTGAATGATAAAATCGAAGACATCACTAGGCCAGTAGAACATGAGTATGTAACTATGCAGGAAAATGCGCAAAATCTGCTTGAATCAGCGAAAACTAAAAACAAAATAATGCTCAGAAGGAAAACTGTGGAACCGGACTTAGAAAAAGTAGTTTGTTTGAGTAAAGAATCTTCTGATTCTGAGTGCAATGGGCCAACTAGCTATAAACCCGTACATGATTTGCCAGCATTAGATGAAGACGCCAATTTAATTAAAATCGCTACTGAAGTTGAGCAATTTTCCGAGCGAGAATTACCGATAGAAGAAAACATTCCCAACTAAGAAAATGCGCCAGCCGAAGCTGAGCCTGATGTAGAATCAATAAAAGCTGCATCAAATTTGGAGACTCTTTTAGCAGTGGCGTCATTACAGAAGGAACCTGTTGTTCACACCACCAGAGAGCATCGACGGTTAAGCGAAAATTAAATTTGGGAAAAGGAAGCCATCGATAATAGACGAGCCAACTTGCTGAGGAACGAGAGGGCGCAGCAGTATCTGTTTGATGCCAATGTGGCCGAGAGCTGGATGAGCGAGCACCATCAGAGGACTGGGTGAAACTGTAAAGGTCCTGTCGGCCGAAGGACAGCCTTTGGGCGAGCAGGTCGCTGTTAAACAGTCGCAACTGGACAAGCTGTATGCCGGACTGAAGGATTTGGCGCAAGAACGTCGCGCTAAGCTGGATGAGGCCTTGCAGCTCTTCCTGCTCAACAGAGACGTTGGCGACTTAGAGCAGTGGATAGCTGATCGCGAAGTGGTGGCCTCTTCTCATGAACTGGGCCGAGATGCTGGTTCTGTTTCAACGCTGCAGCGCAAACATCAGAACTTCATGCAAGACCTACAAACGCTTCAGAACCAAGTGCAACAGATCCAAGAGCAATCGGCAAAGCCTCAAACCAGCTATGCGGGCAACAGAGCAAAAGAGATTACAAATAGAGAGTGGTGTCTGCATGGGCCAGTTTGCAAATGGTTTGCGAGCAGCGCAAAGGAAAACTGGCCGATACTGGCGATCTGTTCAGGTTTTTCAACCTGGTGAGGACGCTGATGCAATGGTTAGACAACGTGGTGCGCCAAGTGAACACCAGCGAAAAGCCGCGCGACGTCGGCGGCGTTGAACTGTTGATGAGCAATCAGAAGAGCCCCCAGGCAAAATTTTAAGTTGTCCACAATCACCGTTTGGCCAGATATAACCATGATCCAGGAATTACCTAATCGGGGCGATCAGCGTTTAGAAGGGGGGCAGCATAACGGAAATGGCTTGGGGTACTCACGTTTGGAATGGGGGGATTGAAAATGGGAGCCCCATTTGGGCCCCATTTGCTCTCAAATATGACACTGACAAGCGGGAAATTTCAAACCTGGGCTGGAGATTTCGAGAACCGTCTGGGTTACCTGGAGGAAACTATTTAAGCGGCGACGAGAACCACAGGGGGGAAGTGAAGTGACAGCAACGACCGGGTGCAGAAGAGGTTAAACCCCGCGAGTCCAAAGAGCGAGTTTTCCGCCTGTTATTGTTTGTGAAATTGACTGTAATTTTAAAGTTAGTTTGTTCCTGTTCCGTAGTTAAAGTTATACCGAGTGGAATAAAAGTTGGAAGCTAAAGAAAAAGTTTGATACTCGGCCATCCACGGTACAATATGTTCACATTGACAGGATTGAAATATACAAAGTGATTCAAAATTGGCGTCATTCCTTTTAAGGGGTAATAGGGCTTACTTGGAAGGTACGAGAAAAACATTGACAATTTTTTCGATAATTTCTACATGAAATTAACAGTTGAAAATCGAATTTCAACTTTGTTATTAAGCATTATTTTGAAAGTGTTCCATGTTTAATTGGAAGCATATTCTAATACTTAAGCATTCAAAAAGAAACATTACGATCTTTGCTTCAAATCATGAAAATTTTTGATATTCAAAAAGTTTTCTTCTACAATTTTTTGATGAAAAGTCAAATCGGAAATCATGTTTTTTGGCATTGACAGATAGTCTCAGATGGATAGCCCTGTCAAACTGTGACTTACCTGGAATTTCTTTGCACGAATTTGCGGATATGATTAGTTCAGGGGAAATGCCACAGTAACATAGCAGAAGCTGAAAGAACTCACGCCAACAAAGGGCGAGGAGAGTAGTTCGAGGAAGACAGTGGACGACGATTGATATTCACTCAGAACATTGCACAGCAACTGACACTTTTCCAGGTACCAAATAAATACCAGCTTTATTCCTACCACGTATGTAAGATCACATTAAACCAATGGATTACTGAAAACAGGTATAAATTGAGCAGGAGTTAATTAACCGAACACGCGAAGCTGCTCGAGAAGAGTGCATAATAAGGTGATTATACAGGCACTTGTTTGGAGTTACAGACTCAAATGTAGGTTTTTCTAATTTATAAACAAATGAATAATTCGATGTTATGAGTTTTAAAATATTATTCGTCGGTTTCGTCATTCAACGATTCCTGTTGACTTTACCGTTTATCCTTGTCTATCTTATTGTCACTTTCTGTATAATTCCATGGTTACCGGATTTTTTAATAATTACGAAGGAACAGGTGTTTACGTATTGTTAATTAGGCAGATTACCTTGAAAAACATTGTTGCCGTTTTGCTAATATAGTTTTATGCAAATTTTTCAGTTTTTAATAACAATTAATTTTTTTTTACTATTTCTTTTGTTCTCCTTAAACACCGCCAGACAACACCTCCAGAGGAATGACGCCAATTTTGAATCACCCTGTAGTAGTACAGGGAGTTTTATGTTGTTGAAGCCGCTTGGAACCGCTTGAACAGCTTGAAATATTTCATGAAATTTTATAGGCTTAGACACTTAACAACAATCCATGTTTTGCGATTAAAAATTTGTTTCTGGCTTTTCCAGTCGAATAGGCGCAGGCACGTCTGTTGATAATTTTAAATAAAAAATTATTCCAAGCGGTTTCCTCAATATTGAAAATTACATTTTTTTATTTAAACTTTAACACCTTGTAGATCAAGAACTAAGAGTGTGGAGTGGATGTTTCCACTATTTTTGAGGTGCCTCTAATGTGGTTAGCGCACCACTGGAATCAGCTCGTTTGGAGAGCGGGTTTTAATAAAATGGCTTATTTTATGCCGTTTAACATAGTTAAATACTGCCCTTTTTGTTTCATAGGTTTTCATTCGTTAGATTTTTGTAGATGTCTCTCTTGTGGAAAGTATGAACGTAGTAGTGAAAAAATTATGCCGGCGAGAGCCAAGCCGCTAACCATATCTCTGACAGTCCACTTTTCTTGACACATGCACACACTGTGGCGTGACAAGGTAAGAATCATCGAACAAAGAGTTTTCGGGACATGTCTATTAATTCAATATTTCCAAAATCACTTGCACTATCAACCTGCAGGAAATGCATCTACTTACCCAACACCCGGTATATTACGTCATATATCACGTATATACATCAACCGTCCAATGAGAAATTTATTCAAATTAATAAATAATGTACCCATTATAAAAGTGATTTATGGTATATTATGACTTGTGATATTCTTGTATTAGTTAACTGAAAATGTAGGGCATAATTTCCCCCTCAGGAACTATGATACAAAATGTTTCTAATCGAAAAATGTTATTTCGGGGGCCTCTCGAAAACTGAAAGTAAAAATTGAGATTTTTTGTCAGATTTTTGTCGGGTACATCACAAAAACCTTAAACGCTACATTTAAAACTAACTAAAATGTTCCATGCATTGGCATATTCTAAAGAGAGTAACTTCGTTTGCCAAACCAGCAAAAACATATAATTCATCATCAGAATTCATCAATAGATCATGAATTATGTTTAAAAATTGCATTTTATAATTCGTTCAATTAAGAAAGAATTTACATGTTAAAAATAATGCTATTGATCCAATAACAATGCAGCACAACTAGTCGATAAAAAAATTACTTAACAAATGCATGTTAGTTCACTTCTACTGCGAGTCCACACACACATAGCATGTAAATCCAGATTATAGGCAATTCCTGTTGTAAAACGTCACTGTATAATGTATAATTACAGCATTTACTAATGACGTGTTGTATAACATACATAGAAATACTCTTAAATATACCTTTTCCAGCTCAAACAAGCAAAGTTATTAAGACCTTACAACTAACAAAACAGATTCGAAAATTATACAAGTTCAGAATATAAGCGAAATAAATGGTTTACGAAATCGAATTTTGCTTGCTTGGGTAGATTTTCTTATTCTAATACTAAAATTGCATGCCTTTCGTGAGAAAATGTTAACGGCATCATTACATTTGTCCCGTCGCAAATACAGTTAAGTTTTTGAAAAACGCACCGAAACGGTAGCCAGGTAATTCGATGGAAACGCAAAATTTCAAGAAGCAGTGTTGTAACCGAGGTGCTTTTTAATCTAATAAAAAAATAAGCAGTTCACTGCTTCAATTTGACTTTGCTTAAGAAGACTTAATGCTTTATTAATTAATTTCTTAGTATTTTATGAACTTATGTTTGCAATTGAACCATTAAAGTTTAAGTTAGACAGTTGCACAGGCCCGTCAACATTTTACACTGAAGCTGCAAGAGCACTTACAACTGAACACTTACCACTTGGTAGCTACAAGTAATATTTTCAGCTTTTCCTTTTATGTAGATGCTGCACGTTGGAAAACTTCTAATCATTTGCGAGGTATTTCGGTAAAGCTAAGAGTGTGTACTCCTAAAAGCTTGCACAGAAAAAGAGGAGTGAATAAGGGTGGATTCGACTAATAGAACTAACCCGTGAACAATAATCACTGATTACATAAGTTTAGTTTTACAACAAAACGCTTACTACTTGACAAAAGTGCAGAAAATTGAAAAATGGAACAAATAAAGCCGATAGTTAAAACGATTGCTGAAAATGTACAATACCATATTCCCTATTTTTTATAATCCATAAGGAATTAATCGCAAAAGCGAGGCGAGAACTGAATAAATAATTTGGTGATACACTACGACCCAAGGTTATAGCTGTAGCAAATTTTACCATTGTTGGTTACACCTGGACGGTTTTACTGCTCTATAAGATAAGTTTTCTTTAATTTATTTCATTTGTATTCAAGTAAAAAAAGGCTTCTGAATATAAGTTGGTCGATTTATATTTTAAATGTTTACTTCCGCAAGAACCACGCATCAATAAACCTATAGTTTAGTAAGTGACAAGAAAACGAAAAATACATATGTATTGCCAATAGTTTACAGATGTACTGAATAATAAACTGCAAATGTTGTTCATTGATAAATAAACTTAAACAAATGGAATCTTAACAATAATTGGTACCAGTGGTGCCAGGCTTTGAACTCGTAACGCTCCATTTCTACATCATGCGCAATACAAGTATGCGCAAAAACCGCGACGTACAGAATCGCAAAGCACAAGTCATTACGCGCAACGAGATAAAAACAAATTCTTGCAAATTTCAAGGAGTAAAAGTTTCATATTGAAGTAAAAGTTTTTAGAGCACAAAATCGCCACCGTTGTAATTTGTCAAATCTGTCAAATTTGTCAAAAAAGTTAGTTAACACTAAGTGTTAACAGTATTGGATAAAGCTGGATAAACGTGTTTATTTGATACATAACCTAACTACCCATGGCTGATCAATTTGTACGAAAAAAGCTTCCAGTAGACGATACCTACATATGCGAAATCTTCCCAAATTATTTGTCCGATTTCGGACAAACACAGTTTGCACGAAATTGCATCCAAAGGACGACCGTCCTTATGGAGACGGGGCTATTGTCAAAGAAATAAGTCCAGCGCGCAAGATGGTACGGGCATGTCTGTAGACTACGAGATGACAGACTGACGAGCCTGGTATGGGAGAAGAGGCCGTCGATAAAAAGGCTACTTGTGAAACCCACCAGAGATGGAAAGCCAACATCAAAGCAGATCTCACAAAAATTAATACTCTTCTGGTAACGAATATTTTCAAGGACCGGTAAGCCTGGAAGAGCATAGTAAAGTCAGCTAAGACCCACTCTAGGTTGTAGAGCTACCGTGTATTTTATTGATTTTATTGTATTGTATATGGATGTATACCTACCATTGGTTCTAAATCCGTAACTTAAATGGAATGATAAAATCTCATTATTTTCAGCAATTCTTTTGACTTATATTTCCTTTTCGTTTTGTTCATATCTGTTGTAAGCGCTGCAAGTGCAATCCAACTTTTTTGACGTCCGAAGAAGCCATACATTCACGCACAGAATAAAACATTGATAAATTGGGACCAGTGATTGCAACGTCTAGTGGATATACCCGATTTATGTACAGATTGTCACCTGCAGATTGGTGTGTGAGTGAGCTGCTTTAGACTCACATACTCTGTTTTTTTGTTATTTCCTAAACTGAAAGAAACATTTAACAAAAGTGCTGATACGTTTTATTATAGAGTTTGTTTAGACATAGATCCAGAATTTTTTTCAATGCTGTTTATGCCTAAATAATTTTTTAATCACTTTCTTCGGAATCTGGCGTTGTTTGTAGTAATGAGAGAAACATACTTTATATTCTGTTTGATCTATATCTATTTGTTGAAATTTGATACACAAAATTAAAGATTTTAATTAACTTGAGTACTAATAGTTTAACATATTGTTATTGTTTTTTTTTGTGCGATGTCCCTGTATTTTACTTCCATTTATGATATTTTTCTTTATGGTAATCTAATGTCAAGCTAGCTCGTATTATTTGTCTATCTGAATCAAGGGGCTCAAAAAAATATATCCTTGAATGAAAAATCTAGTTAAGCAGTTTTATGACTCGCGTCATAGAAGATTACGCGTCAAGTCAAGATTACCCACCCCGGTGAGCATCTAACAAATCATGTCCAAAAAAGAAATTATAAGCAGGGACGAATACTCAAAAAATCACGTTGAATGTAAGATTAAAAGAAAACGAGACAGTAAGTAAATTAAAGACTAAAATAGATGAAAATAGGCCACAATTGGTTTCATCTAGTTTCATGTGTGTGCGAGCATTTAAATGACCGGTAAGTATAAATAAAAGTTATACTCACATACGCAATATACAGGATGATTTAAAATTGGCTTCATTCCGTTCCTGCACGACGACACATTAAACCAATGGATTACTGAACACCGGGGCAAATTTGAGGAGTTAATTAACCAAATACGAGAAGCTGCTAGATATTAGTGGATAATATAGAGATTACACAGGCACTAACTTGTGCTGACAATAATCAACCTTTTGAAAAAGTACGTTTCACAGTCTACGAATCCTGTTGAATTTGCCGTTGATCCACGTCTATTTTATTGTCACTTTCTGTATAATTCCATAGTTACCGCAGTTTTGACAATTACGTAGCTACAGGTATTTATGTGATGTTAATTAGGTAAATTACCTTGAAAAACATTTTTGTCATCTGTTTGATACAGCTTTTTGCAAATTTCATAGTTTTTAATTACAATAAATTTTTTTACAATTTTTTCTGTACTTCTTAAACACCGCCAGAGCACACCTTCAGAGGAATGACGCCATTTTTGAATATCCCTGTAGAAGTAAGTCCCTTGAAATAGATCTTTCAATCATTTTTGGAAATAGATTAGGAAAGGCATTTTTTAAATTAATGTTTATTTGGTTTGAAGCACTAACCATCTGAAATAACTTTTTAACCGTCTCATAAAACCGAAACAGTTGTGTGCACTTAGCACCAGCTGAAGCCGTTTGCTGATTTAAAGGTTGTTTTTGGAACCATCTCATCAAACCGTAACAGCGGTGCGCGCCAGCACAGAACCGATGCGGTATCGTGGAGCGCTCTATGCAGTTGCAGCAGTTTCAGTGACCACTTATCAACGGAAAATATGTTGTGTGTAGTTGCGCGTTGCCTTAATGATTATTGGTTGGCTTTTTCTTTATAAGAATTATTGTTCGGTTCTCCAGGAACTAGCGAAAATTTGTTTAATTGCTAGGATGATACAATTCAGAAATTTTGTTCCATAAGTATTTAGTTTTCTGACATTCTGCAATAAATCTTAAGAAAAAAAGGATGTCTCTTAAGAAACTTAGCTCGGGAGTTATATGCCCATTACCAGCAAACTAAGCAGAATGTGCACTGGCATATAGGCTATGAGCAAACTAAGAGTCTAAGACATAAATTTCATCACAGTTGAAATGTAAAATAACAATCGTTTTAAGCAGAATGTGCACCTGCATTTAAGCAAGCTGGCCATTTTTTAATATAAATTCATTCAGAGATTAAATGAAAGTTATTTGAATAGTATTAAACGTTGGAAGGTCGACATATTTTTTTCAAATTATTTTTTGTTGGTACCAAAATTAGCTCGACTAATACTTCCTCCAGGCTTGCCAAGCATGCATTTCTGTTTGATGTTATTGTGGATTATTTAATGTTATTGTGAAGAGAAATGTGAGAGAGTATTTTCTAAAGCGGGTGCTATCATAAACGAGCAAAGAACTAGACCCAGTAAAAAGCATCCGCAAAAAAATGTATTCTTAAATCTTAAATAATTTTTAAATGAAAATGAGATTTTAAACATTTTCGCATATATATGTTTTTTTGTTCTTTAAGTAGTAACTCCTGACCCATGGTTTGTTTTTTATTTTAGAATATTTTATTTTATTAAGTTTACCAATGTTAAGAATTATGGTTTTAATAAAGGAAATCATTATATATCAACACTATTTCATCATCATTGTGCATTTTTTGTGGAAAAGTTAAAAATTAACATGTTCCTTTTAGAACCGCATTTTGGAACCCATTACCAAGGTGGAAGTGGAACGTTGTTACCTGTTACAGAAAAATAACCGTTTATCACACCTCTAGTAGATACTGCTCTGTCTCGAATTTTCAAGTCCAATATTTCAATGGTGTTGCACCTGAAAATAAGGTAGGATTTTTCTCACATGCTGCAAACTAATTTCCTTCTCCTTCGCTGCTAGAGTCTAAGGAATATTTACAACTAGGACTTTACTGAATCTTTTATTGCCGCAAACGAAAGACATGTTTATTCAATACGGTCTCCACTATTGCCCCTATACCAACAAAATCTCGGGCATACATTTCCTGTGTAATTTCAACCCAGTGTGAGTTATATATATTGAAAAAGTTTTAGTGCGCCGGGTGTATAATAGATACCTAGGCTCTAAACAATTGCTGAAAATAACACATTCAGAACATGCAGGATGTTTCTTGAAAGCTTGAACGTATTTCCTCTTCATAAGACCGTTAATAATTAATTTTGAATAATTTGTATATTGTAATTGGTAATAACCTATAGTAAAATGCTATTTAACAATGCTACTGTTAAAGCAGTCTGGCTCAATAAATAATTTAATTCGTACCCTTTTTGAGACAGACAGTTTTTTGTAATATTTTGAATTAAAGTAGTCGTTTAATTTTTAATTGTGATGCGTTACTTAATTTAACAATCTAAGTAAACTAAAATTATGTTATTATTTGCGAACAAACCTTATATTAGGCAAGTTTAATTGGTCTGATTTCCATTAATTGGATGCACATATTGGATTAAGTGGATGCATAATACACTAGTTGATTGGGATAATTAAAAAGTAAATACAGGGAGGATTGTCATGAAAAGTATTGCAAGAGTTTTTACTTCAAACTCAAATTCAACATTTTGGAACAAATGGAAATCGTCAAATCTAACTATTTTCGAAAGCAGAAATGTTCACTTACTTTCTCATCGGATGTATCCACCGCAGTGCACAAACGGGTGAACTAAGATCGGAAATATAATCCTTTCAAAAAATTGGTGCATGCATTGAATTCTTACATGTACATATACATTTTCCCTTGTGTGTTAAAGTTTTGTTCGTGCTCTCATAAAATTAATAACAATCAAAGCGCATCGTTATTTATATTAGGAAGTGTTGAGGCATCAGTGTGGATGAAATCTAGTGTTAAATCTTAATGCAAATCTATTATATTCAAAAATATGGAAATCGGCAGAGGCACGAAAAATAGTCTTAGTGAATAAATAAAACAAGCGTTTCTAATATATTCTGTTTATGATTCAAGGGCACATCAAATAACTCTTGAATATAAAGTCTGGTCAAGCGCTTTCGCCAATCATGTCTGCATCAAATCCGCCGGAAAAACAACCTAAAAACAGAGTATAAAGAGAAAAATAACTTTTCACACAAGAAACAGCTTCAAGGACACCAAACAAAACATTTATAAAAATGTAAAATTTAAGTGTTTTCAAGACATTTAAATATTTTATTTTTCACAATAAAACTATCATTTGCTGAATTTTATTCAGAATAACTGTAGGTTTTGTTTAAAACTCTAACCAGTTATTGCTAATTGTTTTAACACTCAAAATGCTTATATGATAGATAGTGTTTATATAAAATATTATAATTGTCAGATGTTTAATAGTTCTATTGCACTTAAGATTTGGGCACTTAAACCAAGAAACGACTTTGTTAGTGGTAATTCCAATAGTCAATGACTAATCTAAATACATATCAAGGGTGATTTACACCATTAATTATTAAAACAAATTAATAGCTCGCCAGCCAATGTTGTGGACATAAAAGGGAAATTAAATTCCAAAAATTCCTAAAAATATGGAATGTCCAAAATTTCATTTAGGATGCCGTATAGAAAAACCGAGAGTCATCCTGGCTCGGTAAAATCGGGCATAAAGAAAACTTTGCACACGTTTTTAATTTGAAAAAAGTTCAAATGGTGCTTTGTTCCACAATGGATGCGGGAGAATTGATAGCGAGCTTTCAAAAAGGGTACGTGCAGAATACGTGTTCTATCTCGGTTTTCGAGGGTTAATGATTAAGGGGATGCTGTTCAAAAGTGCTCTCTTCCGGTTTATCTAACAATGAATAAAAGACATGGTGTCGTAAGAACTAGTGTGGCTAAAGGGCATGGATCAAGTTACTTCGCAAATCGCCGGTATTTTGCATAAAATCCAATAATTTGAAGACAATTTAAATTTGTTTAGAACATGGTATTGTTTGTTTCTTTGTACTGCTGGCTTGTTGAAATGGTTTGTTAATTTTTTCTTTTTTGTCGTCTTTACCAATTAGTTCTTAAGATTATACAGGGTGTTGCAGTGGTGCAAATAATCTCACATTCTTATTAGGTGTTTATGGAAACCAGCGGTGATCTGAAATGTTTGCAACTTGAACAAACGATACAAATCTAGAGATGAGCGAATCTGGTTTTCGTCTTGTAGTCTTGTCCTTGCGAAAAGGCACAAAAATTCCATGTTCTGCAAGAGTCTTGTGAGGATCCCGCAAAACGTGCACAATTTTGCACAAAATGATTCATAGAATTGTTTATAATAATATTTAAGTGGTTTATTACCTTCTCGATCACCAGTTGATCAATAAAAATAAAATTAGGGAAAAATGTTTTGTCGGAAGCCGCAGTTGGATAGCTTACCTTCCGATCACAAAAAGTTATTGGGACCTGAAATTAGCTTTTACGGTTGGTTTTAAAGCCTGGACGTTTAGATGAACAAAAAAAAATGTTATTAAAAATAATAAAATCAAGGTTGAACAAGTAGGTGGAGTCGAGTTTTTAATTCATGCTCAGAAGCTCCCAGAGTCACAAACCACCTAAACCAACAAAATATATACTTGTTATACAGTACGCGGCCAACCTGTATATTTTTCGAAAAATTGCTCGGACCTGTCTATTTTGTTTTTAGAAGCCCGATTTCTGAATCAATTTTTATTTATTTTATACAGGATGGTTTTTTTAAATAGAAGCCCCGCTTTTTGTGATTTTGTTCCGTTCTAGACAAAATTATAATATTTTTGTATGTAGCATATCCTATCTTTTTTATGTATGCAAAATTGCCACTCCACTTTATAACCTGATTGAAATTTATGCTAAAAGAGGTAAATTAAGTGCTCAAATTGTCATCCATTGGCTTTATCGCAAAAACCAATCACCCATACCCTTCAACATTATTGAGTTATTGCTTGCGTTTTTGTCAATATTCCCCAATTTTATTTTCACCGATTTTCATGAACATCGGATTTTAAATAACCTTATAAGGAGTAATTCAAGAGTGTAAGACCAGGTGATTTCGGAGGCTTTTTTATCGACTATGTTGCCAATTTCCCGAAAACCTCTAAAGATAGGTTATATTTTAAAAAGTTGGCCTCTATGAATAAAAAATAGTTCGAAATTTGCGCATTCTTCTTCTTCTTCTTCTTATACTTTTCCGAGATCTTGCGAGCTGCTAATTCTGAGCACGCTTCTGCAGTATTTCGTGAGATGTTGAGTGCCAGCTATCCTTCCATCTTTTAGGTAGTCTGCCCACTGGTCTAGTACCTACTGGTTTTCTCTTCAACACGATATGCGGAAGACAGTTTTCGTCCATTGACGTCTCTTTTGGTCTCTTTACGTGACTGTACCGCTGTCTCTTTCTTTGTCTTTCCCATCGCACCACGTCCTGCACTCCACACTGTTCCCAGATATCCGTGTTTCTCACCGTGTCTCTTCTGATTTTTCCCACGATCGTTCTTAGAGTCTTCATCTCTGCTACTCGCAGCATGTACTTTGTTTTATTTGTGGCTTCTCGTATCTCTATGCCGTATGTCATAATGGGTCTCACGCATGTTTTGTATATTTTAACTTTGCTCGCTGTTCGCATGTATTTATTTGCCCATGCGATTTCCCTAAGACATCCTGATAATGCCGCAGCTTTATTAATTTGGTTTCTTAGGGTCTTGACTGGGTCATGACTACTTGACAGCTCCATTCCAAGGTATTTAAATTGTAATACTTGTTCTATAATTTTGTCTTCGATAGCAAATTTACATCGAACAGGTTCCCTGGCGATTGTCAAACTCTTTGTTTTGTTAATAGAGATTGTCACGTTGAGCCGTTGGCTGATTTGGTGGAATCTGAAAAGCTGCCTCTGGAGGTCGTCTTCGTTCTCCGCGATAATTGCGGCGTCGTCGGCATAACAAATGATGTCGCTGCTTCTATAATTGTATCCATTAAGATATTGAACAGAGACGGACTGAGACTATTTCCCTGTCTGATTCCTCATAGTATTGGAATGCTATTTGATATTTGGTTTTGTGATTTTACTTTTGTTGTGTTGTGACTATTTATATTGTGAATTACTTTTGTAGTGTTTGTTGGTGTTTTCCTTTCCGTTAAGCTCTTGATGATGTCGTCTAGACGCACCCTATGAAACGTCTTGGTCAGATCTATGAAGCACATATAGGGCGGTGTGTGGAATGAAATATAGCGTCTGTTGTTGATCCGTTCCTCCTAAATCCCTGTTGTTCTTCGCGGTCTTCTATGTGTTCCTCTAGCTTATTCTTCAGTATTCCTGTAAATAGGTTCATTGTACTATCTAGGAATGTGATTCCTCTGTAATTGTCTGGGCATGTCTTCTGTCCCTTTTTAAAGATAGAAATCTTGATGCTTTGAAGCCAATCCTGCGGTATTTGTGCTATGCACAGAATATTGTTAAACAGTAGGCATAGTTGTCTCGTAAGTTCCTGTCCGCCATATTTCAGAAGCTCGTTAGGTGTGTTGTCTAGTCCCGGAGCTTTCTTGTTTTCCAGTTTCTTGAATCTTATTTCTATTTCCGATTCGTCGATCGTAGCGTTAAATAGAGTTTCGTGTTCTTACAAATTTACTGTTTATTCAAATTTGTAAAGCTGTCTGAAGTATCCCTCCCAGGATTCCATAGACACTCTTTGGTTTGTGCATACTCATTCACTGGCTTTTCCTGTTTTTGAGCAGTTTCCATACATTTCCCTGTGCGCCTTACATATCGTATTCCATGTCGGCAGTAAACTTAATCCAATAGTCTCGTTTGATTTCTATTATTTTTTAGTTTACTCTGTTGCTAGTCTGTATATATTCGGATTGTTG